AAGCATTTCACGTTGTCATACGCAACAAGCGCGCAACGTAAACATGCTTTGTGTCTCGCCTTATACTCGGCTTGGTGAAAGGGAGACGGAACATAATATGTCTGCACTCTTTCACGAGCGCACACGGACGACGGCGGTTTCGCTTGTGTGCGTTCCCCTACCATTTCGGTGCTGGCCGGCTGCTTGATCTTTCTCGACGCTTGGAATCGTGCACATAGCACGGAATAGAACCATGTCCACAGCACATAGCACGGAATAAAACCATGTCCACGCGTGGACATAGCCATACGTATCGACAAGTCGCTCGTGGACATCGCTACGTAGTTGCCAATGTGCACCACCCATGGACATGCGCTAGCTTACGGGCCGGAATAATGGTACCCAAAAACTCTTATGGGCCTGGCCGCTCTCAGGCTTCTCTCTGGTCCTACCTAGGCTGCCGTAAAAGTTGAAGGTAGAAAATACATACTACCGTTTATGTATTTCCTATCTTCCAACTTTTACGGCAGTGACTTAAGTTAGCGGTTAGGACAATTATAAAGCAACCCTAAGCCGGATCCACAATTTCCAATCGCGTTGATCAATTTGTCAAATTAACCAAATGCGATTGGAGAGAATTGTGCGCACAGCTTACGATGCCAGCGCCAAGCGGAATCTTGAGAAACGTCTAGAAACACGCTCTCACATGTGACCGCTTTCTTTACTTTTACATGTATATAGCTACAGTAAGAGATGAGAGTCAGTTTGTCATTTGATTGAGTCTGATTGAATCTGAAACGCAATGGCTACATCAAAAACCACGAACACATACAACAGACAAAATTGGGAGGATGCGGTAAGTAAAATAAAATTTTCCAAACGTAAGTTTTATTCATACGAGCGAGATAACCTTTGTGCGCATTCGTACTGACGTGGTTCTGCGTTTTTCCCATTCTAGGAGTTCCCGATATTATGCCAAACGTGTTTAGGAGACAATCCATATATTCGTATGGTAAGTAATTTAGAATTTTCTTCTACAAATAATTTTCACGAGTTTTTTCACACATGGAGACGTGTATTCTGTTTCGTTTGCAGACAAAAGAGAGATACGGGAAAGAATGTAAGATATGCATGCGGCCATTCACGGTATTCAGATGGTGTCCAGGAGCGAGAATGAGGTTTAAGAAGACTGAGGTGTGTCAGACATGCAGTCGATTGAAAAATGTCTGTCAAACCTGTTTGCTCGACTTGGAATACGGCTTGCCCATTCAAGTTCGAGACGCCGCCTTGAAGATCAAGGATGATCTACCACGCTCCGACGTGAACAAGGAGTATTATGTACAAAATATAGATAACGAAATTGGAAAAATGGATCCGACAACACCAGCAGGCGCCGTTGGCAAATCCGCCGCAGCTAGCGATCTACTGATGAAGCTTGCAAGAACAAGTCCTTATTATAAGAGGAACAGACCTCATATTTGTTCGTTTTGGGTAAAGGGCGAGTGCAAGAGAGGAGAGGAATGTCCATATCGTCACGAAAAACCAACGGATCCAGACGATCCACTGGCTGATCAGAACATAAAGGATCGTTACTACGGCGTGAATGACCCGGTAGCGGATAAGCTGATGCGAAGAGCGGCAGCCATGCCAAAACTTGATCCACCTGAGGACAAGTCGATCACAACTTTGTACGTTGGCAATTTGGGAGATGTACTAACGGAGAAACAATTGCGCGATCACTTTTATCAGTACGGCGAGATTCGTTCGGTAACGATGGTTCCACGTCAGCAATGTGCCTTTATCCAATATACTCAGAGAAGCGCCGCCGAGGCAGCGGCGGAAAGAACATTTAATAAATTGATATTGGGAGGTAGACGACTCACCATAAAATGGGGTCGCTCTCAGGGAAGACAAACCGTGTCCGCGTTAGAAGCTACGAGGGAGATACTCGAACCTGTTCCAGGATTACCCGGAGCATTACCACCGCCACCGGAGAGCATGGGAAACAATTTCTTCAATCTGCAAACCACTTCCGGCATGATGCCACCGATGATGATTCCACCACCGCCGGTCACGCCTCAATTTATGTTCCCGCAAATGACCGCTGCAGCTGCACCGATTTTCCCTCCCGGAACAACACCTATACATTATCCGAGCCAAGATCCATCTAGAATGGGCGCGTCGCAAGGTATCGGCAAGCCTTGGCCAGAGGAATAGATGTAAAACAAAAAGTATTTATATATATATATATATATATATACATATTATATATACATGTATGTATATAACATGTATATAATGAGTTTTTATTTAATTGTAAGATTTCAGACAAAAGATATATGTAATCTTTGTAATTGCAATAAAGACGAATACGTTTCGTATTTTTCCTTCGACTTTTATTTTCTACAATCTACGTCTCGTTAATATTTCGTCTCTGGTCTCAGCATATGTGGTGTATTTTATAAATATGACGTAACAACACCTTTGTCTCTCCTTACGTTCTTCCTTATGGCTCTTTGTTGTGCATTTGTAGGTATGACAACGGTATCGATTCGCGCGATGTAAGCTCGTCGGTACGTGCTTGTGAGCTTTTTTAGTTTCCCTCTCACATTCAAAATGTGGCAGGACAACGAAGTCAGATTTGATGTTTCTCACTCGTAATTATAACATCTTTATTATACTCATACTTATCTCTATAATTAATTTCTTCTCGTATCAATAACTACTTTTCTTACTTAAATCCATACTTTTTGTGTACTAGATCAGTGAAACATGTGTAACTGTATTCAATACCAAATGCACAAATAGAGTAAAACAATTAACGTATAATATACCCGGGAAAAAATGGATTAGACCTAAAATCTAACGAGATAAAAAAAATGGAAAAATAGATCTAATTAGATTCAAATTAAATCTAAATAGAATATAAGTAGATTATGTATATATATATATAAACTTTACACTTTTATTTATTATTAGATCTGCTCAGATCTATTATATTAGATCACCTCAGATCTGTTCAGATTTGCTTAGATCTGGTTAGATCTAATTGGATCTAATGTAGTAGATCTGAATAAATCTAAAGTATAGATCTAATAATAAATAAAAGTGTAAATTTACATCTACTTATATTTATCTACCTTATATTTATTTAGATTTGATTTGGATCTAATTAAGATCTATTTTTCCATTTTTTTTTTATCTCGTTAGATTTAAATCAGATCTAATCCATTTCTTCCCGGGATTTGAAAGATAAAACAATGTTTAGTCTTTTTTTTTACACGCAGTAACATGCAGCTGCGACTCGGTGAGCTTACTATCGATAAACTCGATATGATCGAAGATACGAAAGGCAATTCCGGTGATCTGGGAAGATTGATTGTCACAAATTTGAGAATTATATGGCATTCCTTAGCTTTGCCGCGAATTAACTTAAGTACGACATTTATAAAACGTTTGTATATATGTGTACTACTATGTGTTCGCGCGTTTTATATAATTATTTAACGTTTCTTTCAAATAAAAAAAAAAAATTAAGTTGTATGTGTGATTTTACAGGTATAGGCTACAATACGTTTATTACAGCAAACTCGAAAATGCTTCACACGGTAAGAAGTTCGTTCCAGTACGTCTCTGTATATACAGCGCGCTGAAGCAATCATCTATTTGTTTACCCAACTTAGATTTTTGCAGATTCAAGGTGGACATGTGCAAGCTCTTCACATACTGACTTCGTTTCGAAACAGTCGTTATGAGTTTGTATTTACTAATCACGACGCTAAAAGTACAAGACAGTACACTTCGGTTATAGGCGTTTACAGGTGACGACATACAATTTTACAAATAGAGTTAGAAGACCAATGCGAGGAGTTAATACAAGTTGGTCGTGTATGAACAATAGTCTTTATTAAATATAATAATATTGAATACAATTTTTTACATCTCTCTCACTTCTTCTAATTACTTACTTTTTACAAAAAGCGCGTACTGGTTGCAGGGCTTACGTTTCGTCGAGGAGCTACAGAGAGATCAAACTGCGAAGCGGAATCATACGCGAGAATCGACTGATCTTACTGCCCCAAGAAAAAGTCCATTCCTCCGTACAAGATGTTTGGAATTTGTCTGTTGAACAGGTTTTTGTCTTAGCAAAGTTCTATTTGAATTTCAATATCTCGTGTAAGATCGTCAATAAATAAATTAGTATTGTTTTAGGGAAATATCGGAACTTTTGTTATAACAAATATACGTTTGGTATGGTACGCGGACATGAATCATCAGTTTAACGTGTCAATACCTTATCTTACAATTGAAAATGTAAGTTATCTATTTTGTCACCTTTTATTTTATTTCTGTGAATTTGTTATTTTCTTTATCGTTACAATTCTTTTCTCGTAACGATGTATTTTGTTATTTATTTGTTTAGAGAGAAAAGAACGCGCGATATATAAAAATTCAATTGTTTTTCAAGACAAGTAAAATTAGATATATGTAACAGATATGTTACAAATATGATAATTTACAAATATGATAATTTAACAGAATTTATGTTTTGCGCAAAAAAATTGTTTGCAGATTACCATTAGAACGTCGAAATTTGGACCAACTTTAGTAGTTGTAAGCAAAGAGACCAGCGGAGGATACGTCTTGGGTTTTCGTGTAAATCCTTTACAGCAGCTTCACGTTACTCACAAAGAGATCTCGATTCTTCGTTCAGAATTTGAAAAATTTCCCAGTTTCGGCGTCGAATACACATTCGAGCATGAGGTATTTGATATATCCATTTGTCGATGTACACTTTATTGCATTTGTAACAAGTTATATCGAGGTACAAGGGTACGTTAATTGAAAATAAATATCATTTTTTGTTTATTTCGTCATTCAAAAATCAAACACTATGATCGTGACAACCAAATTGTCAACGATACGTTGCCGTGTGTTGAGAAAAGAAATTGTTTTTTTCTTCAAAATTACACAAATGTGTTTCGCTAATATATACACAATTTTTTTAGATACCAATTTACACTGTTACAGGCACCGTCGCAAAAAGAAATTAACGTGGAACATTTCACCGAGATACAAGAGAATCAAGCTGAGATATCGAACGTTTTCGGATATTATTTTTCGGAGGGAGAGACGTGTCAGAGAAAACCGAGTTTTTCGATTCACTTGGGACTCGCGGCGGAAGAGCCGAGAGAAGGCAGTACGTTGCAAAGTTTATGGGAACTAGTGCCGTCGAATGTTAATTAATTGTCTCTCTTTCAACAATACGTTCACAATGCGCCTAACAAATCAAATCAATTGTCTCAATTGATTGCCTTCTCGTGCTCGAGATGTTCGCGCGTCATCGCGGGAAGCGTAACGAGGATAAGGGTGATGACGTACTTAAAATCAACAAACACATCACGTTTCGGAGATTTTTCAGTATTAAGTGTTTATTATACATACAAGCATTTTTTTTTTTTTACAATATCAAGTATTTGTTTGTTTGTTTGTTTTTGTTTTAGACATGACTGTGATATTTAGCGTTCTTTTTGTTATTGTAATATTTAGAAATATTCTCTCGTATTCTATTTAATTATTATCATTATTATTATGTATTCGTATATATAGAATAACTTTTATGTATATATATATATATATATATATATTTATATATATATTTATATAGTCTCAAAACCAAATCTAATAAAAATAGTATAAGTGTACATGTGACGCAGTGATAACATATATATGTGGTGTTCAGACGGTTAATAAATATATATTCTGTCGAAAAAAAAAAAAAAAAGGAATAAAACTAATATAAATAAGTTTGTTACAATAAAAATTGTAAAACGAATGAGAAGCGACTGCGGTTTGTTACAGCGTTGAAAAAATTTTTTTTTACAAGACAAGCGATCAGAGAAGAGATTGCTTCTCGTCTGAGAAAAAACGAACGATAAAAACATTTAATAAATCTGTCACTGCATGGTTTACTGCGTAACGCAGTTTTCTTGACGATCGGGACACACACAGCGGTGCCAACGGTGACTTTGCAATGCGACATGTATATCTGTACAATTTCGTGCGCTCTTCATTCAACAACGCTCGATAAAAAAAATAATAATAATAATTATCATCATCATGAAAAAATTGAATTGAATTTACTCTCTAAAATTGCCCGAAAAAAACGAGGCACAACGCTACGAAAATACGATCAAGAGAAAAATTTTGAATTTCTAAAAACTTGTTGATTAAAAGAAATGCTCAACTTGCACCACATGCAGCTTGATGAAGTTTTTTTTTTTTTTAACGCTGGTTACGATAAAATGCGAATAAAATAAAGAGCGGAAGGAAAAGAGGAGAGAAGAAGGGAAATCCTCGTACGAGAATAACAAACAGCACGTAAAGTCTGTACACTAAATCCTATCACTCTTCTAGTCCTCTCTCTCTCTCTCTTTCACTCTCAATCGTACTTTTCTAAATAAAACCTAGATGACAAAAATGTATAATTTATAACGAAAATAAGAGAGAAACACTATTCTCGTAATAAATCATCCCTCGCCAAAAAACTCTATGTGATATCGCGCGAATTTCGATAGGACAAAGCGTGAAATATAAATCTCCTATAACTTGTCTTTGCAAATAATGACGATTGACTCGTGTCTCATCGATGTTGTTCGAATGTTGCAGCGACATTCGATATTCGCGCTACGTCCCACAAACTGCGGGACGTGTTTCTCGTTTGTTGAACTTTTAATTTATCTCATCATGCGATTATTCGTAATATCTTTCACATAACGATGCTTGCTACAATTAACATTACTAGATCGTCATTCCGTTAACTTAAACAGCGGCTATCTCACAAAGCAATCAGCATCATCCTCATTCTCATCCTCCTCCTCATCATCATCATCATCATCATTATAATCATCATCAATCATCATCATCATTATCATCATCATCATCATCATCATCATCATCATTATAATCGTCATCTTTATCGTAATTGTCATTATAATCGTCACCACCATCACAGCTCGAGAATTTATGCTCGATTCACGAAGAAACGTAACAATACGTCAAATCTAGCGGATACCTAGAGTATATACCAATGTTAAGTAGATTCTCTAAAAGAAATATGATTAAGAAAAAAAAACAGTAAGATTGCTTGACTAGTGAGCGCACGCCCCGAAAATCCGGTATGGAAGAAAAATTTTCTCCTTGTCTGTCTAATGCTCTTTCTCTCTCTCTCTCTCTCTCTCTCTCTCTCTCTCCCGCTCCCTCCCCGTCCGTAAAATATCTCTCGGACGCGATCGTTCGCACTTCCACATTCGCTATTCTGAAGTTGCTGAAATATAGAACTTCGCTAAGCTATCTCTTAAAATTGGGACATTTTCTCTAATCCGTTTGCTTCGGCAGATACGTTTTCTCAATAGTTGATCTAAAACATTCCTTTCGCTCTTGTTTCCTTCTTTTACTCATCTTGTGCTATTATTGTTTATTCAGCGTGCACATTCCGTTCCGCGCGATTTTCCATTACCCCCATCTCTACCGATTTTAATGCCTCAAAATTTTACTCGTAATCTATATACGTGTGCGTGTGCGTGTGTGATTGTGTGTGTATACGTGTATGTAATGTGTGTATGCGAGAGAGAAATCAATGTTACATTTTATTATCAGAAAATATGTTTGTGTATATATCTGAAAATTGTGTTACAAACAGGCCTATCAACCCCTTCCTTTCGGAGGTCCTTTAAAAAGTTGTATTCATCTAATAGCGTACGCTACGACATTCACAGACTGAGTGTCCACACACTTGCTGTATATAATTAGTTAATTAACATTTATATATTATTTTACATTTTCTTTTAATCCGCCTACGATGCCCATAGTATCTGCACGAAATGTGGAATACAGGGATGTGGTATGTAATGTCCTGCGTTGCGCGCCGCCCTTTCCGTCCAGACGAAATTTCCTCTATATGTGATAAATCGCGCGACCGCGATTATTTACATGATCATAAACGACGTCTCGTTTGTTTGTTTGTTTTTTTTTTCTGAATATCGCTTGTCACGATCTCTCATGTGTTCATCAATTACCCAACTTCTCTCCGTTTGTCCGGGACTGTGTAAGAGACTTTCTCTTTATGACAAAAGATCTGTAGACAGAAAGAGAAACAGATTTACGAATTGATACATCAACTCGGTTACAACCGTACGTACACAAAATTATACAGAGAAGATATAACTCATTAATATCTGTGACCAAGTGTTTTTTTCCTGAAGACACGTGTGCAAATAATATACGTTCTTCAGTAAGTCTGAGATATATATTCTGTATATCATTCAATCGAAACGTGATTTATACCTATATATTTATTACCTGGTACTTGATTGTTATCCTGCGGCTTGTTGATGAAATTGTCCTGGAACGGATTGACATTGGCGTTAGCGGGGGCGGGTACAAAGCCCATCGGGGTAAACGGCATCGCCGACGGATTCAGATTGGAGTTGAGGGTATCCTCATTCGCCAGATTGGGCGTAAGTTCGAGTATCGGTCCGGTACTGTAGCCGCTACTGTTATTACTCAGAGTGTCGAAGTCCGACAGGTCTAACAGGTTGTTGGTCACGTTGTTTTGCTTGCTACAAAATCAGCCAAAAAAAAAAAAAAAACAAAACCGTATACACTAAGTTTAACACAGCCAGACAAACTATAGAATCTACGAACTTAAGCGACTATGATCACGACCACTAACACGGAATCGTTGTCTCTCTAAGTTAGCTAAGCCGATTGACATACAATCGAGTCACAAAACAAAAACGGAGATTCGACTTTCTTGGTAGAATATATATAGTCGCGATTCTCTCTAGATATATAGATATGTATGCATACATACACATATACACACGCACGCGCACACACACGCACACACACACACACGCATACGCAAACATCGTTAACTGAACGATATAAAGCTAGGTAAAGATAAATAAATAACGTATAAGTAAATATATATATATATATATAAAGCGCTCGTTATGCGTCACTTGACTTTGTTTTGCATAATCTACCATATGACTGCTTTTCAAATTGCGGACTGTAAATGCCTCGAGAAAGAGAGAGAGAGAGAGAAAAAGAAAGAGAGAAAAAGAGAAGCAACTATCCTTCTGATGTAAAAACTATTGAAACAACTATCATAAGCAATCAAGTCTGACAAAAATTATCTTTATGCGTAGCAGTACTAACCGAGATAGTCCACAACCTTTTTTTTTTTTTTTTTTTGCGGTCCTTTGCGGTAGTTTAGCAATATGAACTCTTGTCTGTGTGTGTTTGGTCGAGAAAATTATTTAAAAAAAAAACATACGTAACTAAAGTGCACAATGGATGTCTCACAACAGTAGTATTTTTGTTCAAAAGAAGTACTACGAGAACAATTCGGTTCAATTCGATGTATATATGTATACTGTCAACAATGTAATAATATAATATATAACTCGCTATAATAACATATTACAGCAAACCACCAATAATACAAATACTTGTAATGTAAGAGTGTTAATTATACAATATTAAATATAATGTTATAAGTTCCATTTATTTGCTCTGATACTAAGTAAAGGTAAGAGAAAAAAGTTCATGCCACGTCTGTTATCAATTTTTTCTCCCTACTTCCAATACGGATATTTTTGTGTGTGTGGATTTTGTGGATATAACGTGTGTTTGTGTGTGTGTGCGCGTGTGTGTTTGTCTCTGTACGGGTGTAAAGAGAGATATTAGTTCACAAGAAAAATTATATTTGGGAAACATGTAGAGATAAATGGTACATAGCAAAAGTAGACAGCAAGTTGACACGTATCGCTCGAATAATATACAATATACAAGCATGGTAAGTACTTACGCAGATAATCGTGTTGTGCAAGGAAAAGGAACAAGCCACATCATATCAACGTTAATCGACAACATGCATTTTGGTGGATTTGGTAGAGAGTTTTAATTTCGAAATCGCACTTACGGTCATACACACACGTCCGGTCAGTAAATAGAAGAACACTTTTTTTGTTTTTTTTTTTGTTTTTTTTTGTTTGTTCTTTTTAACACCTACTTGGAGGATCAAAGATCAAAGAAAACGCTCAGCAAAGATGATGACGTGTACATATACATAATGTTAAGAAATATTACGAAAACGGGTTGGTTTTTGCTCAATTATAATACGTGTGTTTTTAGATATCGCGCGTTTTTTTTATTAAAAATCGAACCTACACATCGTTGCTGAGATGGCAAGTGTGTGTGAAATCATAAAACAAATCGTTTTTGATGAGTCATTAGATTTTTATGCTGCTTGTCTCTCTTTACATTATGTACATTGAGGTTTTTTTTATTTGTCGTGTGATTTAACGCTAAACGTGTGGTTCTTGTTAGTTCCTTAAACGACTTCATGCTTCATGTACGGCAGTACATGATGTTCTTTAAACGTATTAATATAATGTTTAAAGAAGATCGAAATATGTATATATACGTACGCGTTTATAATCTTTGTTACTTTTTGTTTTTTTTTTTCGTTTTTTGGTTTTTGTTTTTTTGTTTTTTTTTTTTACAATCCTAGCTAAAAATAAATAATACAATATATTTCTTATTAGTATATATATATATATAGTTAAATGTCCATTATAAAATATTTGTAATTATATTATATAGTAATACACAATAATATACATTCCTCGCACACCTGAAATTCCGTTATTACTGCGATAGCAACGCGTTTTGAAATTATATTGTTGGTTATTATATGTAATACGGGTGCACCCCCACCAGTATTGCAAACGCAATGGTTATTACGCTTCAACGGTGAAATGCAATAATTATTACGTTTTGTCAATGGTTGCTCTGACTACTTTTGCAATGTACAATGTACATGTGTATGTGTGTGTGTGTGTGTGTATATATATATATATATGTTTTGTGTGTAATATTTGCACTCATCGATAATCATTCGCTAAAATGAATATCGAACAGATCCTTCTCAAGAGAGTTGTCAAGTATATAAGCGCAGAGAGAGAGAAAGTACACTTTTTATTGTTTTAAATGTCTAATTGTGTGTGTGTGTGTGTATAATAATGTGTGTACACATGTATGTATCTATATTTATATATACTGTAAAATTTAATTAATTTAATAATTGTAACTGATTCATCTTTTATATATATATATAAGACACATTTCGAGTAACATAATTCATTATTATATATGTACAGAAGCCTTCGACACTATATATAAGGCCTTTGGAATACATGTGTGATATATATTTCAAATTTTAACTACAAACAATTCAAACAAATTACGTTTCGAAATTGTAGAGTTTGCTTTTTTTACGTGATTACAAATCTAATAAAAATTCAAGCTCTATTATTGAGAGCTATTGATCAACTTTGTGTTCGGGAGTGCGATGAGATTGTTTGTTGCGATTTGGAGAAAACTCTTTCGTATTTTTATTTTTATTTACAAATAAAATCATACAACACGCTTAATTTTTTATTCCGTTTACCGTGTGGCGCATTCGTGGCGGAGCTAACTTATATAACAGATTATCTAAGAAGAATTGCTCATATATATATATAGATCTATTCTCAAAAAAGAGAAGAGAGAGTAACATTTGATTTCTCGATTTTTTTTTCATGTAACGCGCAACAATTTTTTTTTCCTGCAATTATGTTGTATATATACGTATATATATATATATATATATATATAATACTTTACATGCAATATTTAAAATGTTGATTTTCTTATTAGGTTTGTCTCTTACACGTGTAGCGTGCATTTACGCGCTTTTGTCTTTTGTTTTTTTTTGTTTTTTTTTTTTTTGGTTTTTTTTTGTTTTTATTTTTCTGCGATCGACTAGCTATGAAACCGACGCCATGTGTCAATTATATACTATTAATCAGTCCAGTTTAGACGAATAGTATATTGGCTAGTATTGTGCAATTACTTATGCCCTGTAAAAATGTAATAACAGCATGTAATCGGTGTTATATGTTATTTCGTGTACCTGTCTCGCGATTAAAACCCCCGTTTAAATGTAAAATTAAACGTAAGTTGTATTGCGCGAGTATTATTTATCTTCTCGTATCGTGCTTATAAGATACTTTCGCAGTTATAAAAGATTAACTTTACCGATATAATATTTGTTTCTTCTGACAGATTTGACTATATAGATGTAGATTTTTTTTTCTTATAGAGACAATTAAGTAAAACACATGTCTCAGATAATAATAATCGGACTTCTAGCAGCCATATGTCGCATTTGAATTAGAAATTTGCTATTTTGGACGCGCTTCTCTCTAAATATATATACGTTATCGGAAATTACAATTGTCTCAATGACGCGCAATTACTAAAAAAAAAAAAAAAAATTATACGTTGCGCGAATATACTAGATACTCTATGTCGAACTAGCGAGAAGACACGTTATCGGCGCGATTCTCGACGACCGACGACGTAACTTGCTTACAAATTCGTTTTTTTTTTTTTTTTTTTATTTAGAATTGGTATACTTACACAGTGGCATTGTCCAGCGTAATCGATTGATTGTTGATACCGTTCCCGTGATTCGTATGATGACCGTTCAATTCCCCTTCACCGTTACCCTGATTATTATCCATTACGTTGTTTTTGCTTTCGTTAATCCCATTTCTATGTGTTGTTGTCGTTGTTGTTGTTGTGCCATTGTGCACTATATCCGGCGCGAGCACGCTGTTTTCCGTGTGATGAGCCCGTTGCTCGCTGCTGATGAACTGCTGAGTCGCCTCGGAAATTAAACTGGCTGTCATGACATCGTCGCCTTTTCCGTCCGGCACTGGTTTATTCTCATCGCTGGGACTGTCCTCCTTCAGCTTGTCGCCGTCACCAGCTTCTCCCTGTGCACATTTATAACGTATCAAATTAATTCCTTCATTTAGAATTTAAAACAAATTGCTGAACAATTGAAGCGATTTACATAAAAGAACAATCAAAATAAACATGTGCTTGACACGTATATATTGCGATATATTACCTTGGCAGGCGCGTTACTTTGATTTTTTCCTCTTGTTCTAAGCATAATCGCCTCCACTCGTTTGCGCCTAGCGTTGCGTTCTTCCTCCTCTTTCTTAAGCCTTTCGGCCATTTCGATTCGTTGTCTGTAATTGAAACAAATATGTGAATCGCACAATGTTTTTTTTTTTTTTGAACGTCTGATACACATTTCCAACAGAATATATAAGTGAGAGGAAGATATTTTAGACCGACCTTTCCGCTTCTTCTCTAGCTTTCCGTTCTGCTTCCTCCTTCTCTTGTTTCTGACGAGTTTCCTCTTCTCTTTTTCTTCTGTCCTCTTCCTCGCGACGTTTAGTTTCCTCGATCGCCAGTCGCAATCGTTGCTCCTCCGCCTCCCGAGCTTCATTCGCTAAGCGTATGGTTTCCTCTTCCAGACGACGCTGCTCTTCCTCTTCTGCGCGCAATCTTTCAGCTTCTAACCGAGCTTCTTCTTCCTATTAAAATCATTACGTCAGCTCATAAAATCTCTGTTAAAAAGTTAAATCGATCCATTGATTGATTCGATCAGTTTGTGAGATTGTGTACCTGTCTCAAACGTTCCAATTCTGCCTCTCGTTCCGCTTGTTCTCGAGCTAATCTTCTACGCTCAGCCAAAGCAGCTTTTGCTTCCTCTTCAGTGGTGATCCTAATTTTCGCGATCATCGAAGCTAAAAATTCACACGAATAAGATATGTTGAATATATTATACACACACACGCACACACAAACGTCTGGTGACAAAAAAACCATCGCGATCCGTTCGCGATGAAGTCTCGATTAATCATACCTGACATGTCGACTTGCTCGTCCGTTTCGCTTTCGGATTTAGCTTCAGTCGTTTCCGTCGGTTTCTTTTCCTGCTTGTTCTCTTCCTTTTTGACTTTCGGCGGTTCCTCCGTTGACAAGGTTTCCTGCATTAAATTAGTCTCGTCCTTGATTTGTTTGCTTGCAGACACAGACTCTGTCGCTACCTTCGTGTCGTTGGTTATGGATTCAGTAATATTCGTTTCCTGCTGCTGTAGTTTTGAAATGAAAGAGAGGTCGGATTTACAATTTATTGTACACTCTATTGCGCGCAAAAGAGAAATTTGTGTCCGAGAGAAAACGCGAGTGAAAATTTTACCTGCGTCTTCTCGCTGCCCTGGTCCTTCTTCTCCTCGTTCTTGTCCTCCGATTTCACATCCTGCGCGTCCTTACCCTCGTTCTGTTTTATTATTTCCGCGTTTGTCTCACGGATGAGAGGTGCGTGCTCAGCTCCGGGACTCTGTAAGGGTGTCGCCTTCGGGGTTATTCGCGGTGACGACTTGGCGTTCTTGATTAACTTCTCCGTTGGCTTCCTCACCTCCGTAGCTTTGGGTGTAGAAGGTTTCTTTGGAGTGCTATGGACCTTTGGCAGTGGTGGTTTTGAATCCTTCGTTAATTTCACATCACCTACCAGATCTGCGACAACAACAAAAAAAAAAAAAAAAACGTTCGGATATATTAATTATTTTTATGCAGTCTCTTCGATTGCGTGTGTACAATATTTACGTGTGCAATTTTAATAGTCGTCATAAAAATTACACCCAAGAAAAAGAGGAAGAGTACCTGTATCAGAAACAAAAAAAAGAAAAGAAATTCATTCAAAAAAATAAAAAAAAAAATAAAATATAAATTCATACAAATTATATCCGAACAAAAGAGGATACCTGTGGAGAGAAAAAAAAAATAAATAAATAAAATCGAAACGTCTTCACAGAGTCTTTTTTGACTTTTGTCTTCTCACATGTATAACAAGTGTATTTCGAACCCTTTCAAGATATGTGATCACATGAATCTCATCATCATCATTTAATCCTTCTCGAGTGTTCTAATACCTTCGACAACTTTTTGGTGAAATGAAACATTTATGCGGATCAGTAATCTTTTTTTCCTTCAGATTATCGATCTCGATTCTCGCTGAGAAGATTGTGGTAATGGGTCGGTGTAAAGAGAAGAAGAAGAGAATGCTCACTGTGTTTCTCTGTGATAGAGACACCGGTACCGGCAATAGAAGCAGGCCGCGGTCGGCGCGTCGTGCGGTTACGCAGATTGACGTTACTGCTGGCCACGCTGCTGGCGCTCTGCTGGCTCATGGAGCTGTGCGGTCGGGACGGGCTGTTGGGTGTCACTTCGCCGCTGCGGATACCTACGCGCACCCACCCAAGGTAAGTTACATATTTCTTTATCTAAGGGAAACGCTGAACTTCGAAACGGATCTCTCCGCAGATCGCGGAAAACAAAAACGCGCGGATTAATTAATATAAATTCCCGTATTTTCTCGGGGAATAAATGTTCTCGTTTATCGCGTTTCCTATGCGCATTATTGTTGGGATCGCGCGTGTCGTCGCGTTTGGATCGTTCAAAAAGGTTCGGAAACGCAAAGTTTTGTGCAGCAGACGAAGTGTCGCAAGAAATCGTAACACAAAGCACAACCGCCACCGCTGTTAAAAAGTGCGCTGTGAGAGTAAAAAGAACAAATAATTCAAAAAAACAAACTATATGTAATATAATTCAAAAGAAAAAAAACGAAAAATGAAAGATGTAAGCCAAAATAAGAATAAGAGAAATCAGACTTCGACTGCGCAAAAAAGAGAGAGTGAGAGATATAATAATAAGAACACAGGCTTGCTGAAAGTAGCTAGAAAAAATTGCACACACTCAATATACATATGTAATACATATATATGAATAACATTTCAAGATGTGATTTTGCGAGAATATCAAGTTGCAAAATTGGCGCTCTAATTGTAAATATAAATAAATAAGGTGTAAAGAAAAACGTGCAGCTTACCAAATTGTTAGAGCTCATACCTTTACCCCCTGGTATCGAAAAGCCGCTCTGAGAACCGTCTTCCTTATATTAGGAGTATCTTGTTAATCAATTCGGAGATCTCAAAGAGCCAGTTACATCGGTAATCTGACAATGCTCAATCGCTCTCGCTTCTCGCATTGTCAGATCTATTTGCGGAAGAGGGATTACAGATTTATAACCCGTTCCCTTTAATCAAACGCGTTGCACTGTTTTACAGCAACTGGCTCTCTCAACGTTAAATATTAAAACGTTTATCTCTCTCAAAAGTATAAATATAGAAATCTTTCGGATGAGATGTTAGTCACCATAGAAAAGTGATGATGTAAAACAATTACATCGAGATATATTAGTGTAGAATAACTGATGTGTTTCTTACGACCTTCAACCGTCGTCAAAGTTTTGCTTTTTGTCCTAATTGATTCACCAAGACTCCTTTTCACACTCGTTCATGTGTGCACCCAACTCAGATCGTCAGTTCTCTTTTTCGTTTCAGAACACAAATACGTTCTTTTTCATTCAACAAGTTTATTATTTATATAGAGATCGTTCCTCTCGTTCCGGGAACGTGTACTAATATATAGCTTACGATCTAACTTATCATTATAAGCGAGACGAGTCTGATTACGTATAGACTGTACAGCGAGAAGAGAAAATTAGTACAAAGCGAAACGAGTGCGATATTGATTGAAAAGTTTCCATATGTACTGCGGAAAAAGAATATATATTCTTTCGAGATTACGTTACAAGGAGAAACGCGCGATTCGCAGTAATGTATGACTGTATCATTTTAATTGACTGTATGTACTTGCGATGAAAAAAAAAAAAAAAAACTCAAAAAATACGAAATAAAAAAAGATGTATCTATTGTTTTGGTGTGAAAATGAAACTGGTTATTGAAGATAACAATGTAGAGATGATAAAAATGATCGAGATATACACTCGCTATGTACAAAAGCTTTCGTTTTCGGTGACAGATTCGTCGAGTTGAGTGCACTGTCATGACGCACTTACCTTGCTGTAGGGCCTGTTCGCGGGCCTTGCGGCGCAGTCGCTCGGCGCGGGTGGGTCTGGGCATAGGCGCCGCGCCCGGTAGCGTGCCCATGCTACGCGAGTTATCGGAACGTTTGAGGGTCTTGGACCCTCCGGCCAAGTGCGACATGCTGCGGCTCATGCTAGAAGCGCTCTGCAGCGGCGGCTGGTTCTGCTGCCGCTGCTCCGCCAGCGTGCCGAGCTGCTCGGTCGCGCGTTTCCTAGGCTGCGCCAGCTGGTCCAGCCTGGACATGGAGTAAGTCCTACCTGGCGAGCGTGTGAAGGCCTTGGAGCTAGAGCTGCGCGCCGACGACGGCGGGCCGTCGCGCGGGGACGGTATCGTCGGCATCAGGTCGGTGCGTCTTCTGTTGACGCGCAGATAAACCGAGCTCGGGGTGCCGGGTGTGCCGCTGTCGCTCTCTTCACCTGCAAACATTCTCGCCTTAGAGTTGTCCGCGCGAGTTAGAGCGACGTTTTTAATCCGCGCGTTTTTTTCATTCTTTATGAAAGACACACTCGAGAATATACATAAAACACGCAACGACTCTTGACAGATAATTCTTTCTTGTTCCTTTGTTAATTTTTCACGCTTCACGTGTAGCCTTGCTTTTCATGCTGTGGAAATGACGCGAAGATACACTGAGAGAAATTTCACAATTTTGAAAAACGTTGCACAGACGTGAGACGTACTCGTTTTTTTTTTTTTTTTTGTTTTTTTTATCTTTTTCGAAACTTTAATTGAGCAATTGCACTGTATCGTAAAGTTAGTGTGTTTCGTTTAATAAAAATTAATAAGTTAAAAAGTCTCGTTAATTAATTAATTATCAAGTTAATAAGTTGTGTACATAATTATAATAGATGAACGTACAAAATTGTCTCTTTGAGATTTATTTGTTGTAAGAAGAGATTATTCGTCTCTCAATGTACGTGATGTGTCTCTCTCTGAGATTATGGTGCGTGTGTGATTATCTCGAGATAACGAGCTAGTGACGTTAAACATTTTACACTCTGGAAGATATATATCACGAGGTTTAAATATATATATATATATATATATAGCACACAAGCATATAAGGAAAAGCGTGAACCATCTCTAAACCTGCGACAAAAAATCCATTCGTGCAAGCGAAATCAAACTACCATTATTCTCGAAAAACTACAATAACATCTGGTTAAACAGAAAATTCTGATTCCAAGAACTTCAAATTGTGCGCCGGAGACTAGCGGACGAGCTTGTTTCATGCGCGAAGCCCATAACTTTACGTAACTTTATATAATATACATGTACACAGTTTGTCCGGAAAGTTCCCGGACTGATTTTTTCTAGCGCGGGTAAGCGGCGCTATCGAGCGGTCAACGCTGGAACTACTTAGTA